CAGCTCAAATGCAATGCCTCTGTCTACCTTTCAGACGCACAGTAAGAAACAGCCATGTTGAGTGTGCCTCTGCCATCCCCTGGGCCTCTGAAATGCCCAGCATGTAGCTCCATGTATGCTGGGAATTAGCTAGATTGGGAGTTACTTTGGAGGAGAAATAGCATTTTATTCCTCTTTAAATCCTCTAAGCTCAGAACCTTACAGCTGACACAAATTCACTGAGTTAGCCTAATTTCCACTTGCTAGTTTGAGCTTCAGGATTTCTTTTGAGCCAGATATCCCTTTAGTGTCACAGTTTAGATAACAGGAAAGTGCTAAAGGGGAACTGTCTCTCAGATAAGGCACAGGTGAATGAGTTATTGTAGTGTAAACAAAAGTTCCAGGAAAGAAACACACTGCAAATTCTGATGTAATTGATTAGACCTTCAGTGTTTGTGCAGAGGTTAGGATGTTGCAGGTACAGAGCCTAATTACAATTCGTCTTGCGCTATCTTTAGCCTCTTTAATAGCCATTCCTTGCTCACTTCTGTGTCTGACCTAACATCCTTGTGACTAATAGGTGAATCCTTTTGGAAAGTATTAACAGACCACTAGTGTTAATGGAAATTCTGGGGAGTCCCACCAGAATCACTACATGTTACTCAGAAAATCAGGGTCCCCTCTTGGGGTTCTTAGTCTTGTTAGTACAGAATTTAAGAATGGACTCAAAAGGAAGCTCACGGACAAGGAAGAAAATGAAGAGAAAGAGAAAAGGCCATGCCGTTTCTGTGACACATGGAAGTCAGCCACATGGTGGACAGCAGACACATGGCTGGGTGGGGGTGGGGCGCTGGAGAAAATGAAAAGCCCAAAGTGCCAAAGAAAGCGTTCTTAGACTCTGACCAGTATCCGAAAGAAAAAGACAAGTGAGAAGAAGAGAAAGTTGTCCTTTTCTGAGTCAGAACTCAGAAAGATGGGCAAACCCAACAGAATCTCCCGGTGGCTCAGGAACGACTGAGCTGAGGGCAGAGATTCTGGGAAGGAAAAGTACACAGTCTCGTTAGAGGGATAATTATTTCTCCCATCAGGTTATCATGGCTTAAGGTGGTCCTGAGGGGGGGGGGGTCCCTTGTCCAGGTGACTGACCCACTCAACTGGACTAATTCTTAGGTAGTATTTTTTGTTTCATTTATATTAATTGCTATTTTAAAGAACGAAATGTCCTGTACTTAGAAAAACCTACATCATATATAAATATTCAAACAATGAAAAACATAATTCAAAATTTAGATTTCCCAGTAAGATAAGTCTTTTGTGGAATCACATGTGGACACTGCCAATTTAAAAACTGATTTGGAGTTGAAAAAGGTGTTATAGCTTGAGAGGTCACTCAAAGGACTTGCATAAAGTATGCATATATATGGACTCTATGGTTTTTACTACCCTTTCTTGTTCTCCTTTCTAAATGTTATCGTATACCCACGGGTGCATTTATTTACATAATACATGTATATATGATAAGCTAGGATCTGCATATGACAGAGACTATGCCATTTCTTTTTCTTCCTGCGATTAGGTGACCTCACTTAATAGCAAACATTCTTGGCACATCCATTTTCCTGAGAATTTTGTGATTTCATTTTTCTTTAGAGTTGAATAATAGTCCATTTATATATGGACCAGATTTTCATTTTTCATTGATCTGTTGATGGACAACGAGCTTGGTTCTATTTCATTGTGTAGTAACTAGAACAGCAATAAACATGGGTGTGCAAATATCTCTATGGTAAAGTATGGAGTTTTCTGGGTTTATGCCAAGGGGTGAAATAACTGCATCAAATGGTAATTCTACTTTTTAAAATTTTTGAGGAACCTCCAAATTTATTTCCATAATGGCTGTATTAATTTCTACTCCCGCCAGCAGTGAATAGCGGTCCCCCTTATCCACATTCTCTTCAGGATTTGTTCTCAGATTTCCTCATCAGTTGGGATCTCAAAGTAGTTTCCCTGGTGACTAGGGATACTGGACACTTTAAAAAATAGTTACTGGCCATTTGTTTTCCTTTTCTAAAAAAAACTCTATTCAATTCATTATCCCATTTGTTGATTGGTAGTTTTATTTCCCTGGTATTTATTTTCTGCAGTAGATTTTTGTAGATTCTGGATATTAGCCCCATGTCTGAGGTATAGCTGGTAAAGGTCCTTCTTCCATTCTGTGAACTGTCTGTGTGCTCTGCCAATAGTGTCCTTTGCTGTGCAGAAACTTTGTAATCTCATGTAGTCCCATTTGTTGATCTTTGGGGTTAGATCTCGTGCTAGTGATTTTGCCTGCCCCAAAGTCGTGAACAGGATTCCCTGTGTTTGTGTCTAGAATCTTCAGCATTTCAGGTTTTAAATTAAGGTCTTTTATCCATTTTGAATTGATTTTTGTACAAGGCGAGAGCTGTGAATCTAATTTCATTCTTCTTCCAGCACCATTTGTTGACTAGGCCATCTTTTTTCCAGTGTGTTTTGCTTCCTTTGTCAAGAATTATGTGGGCATAGCTTTGTTGGTTTATTTCCAGATCCTCTGTCTTCTTCTGATCCATTGGTCTACCTGTCTAGTTTTGTCCCAGTACCAGGTTGTCTTTGTCACTATAGCTCCATAGTATAATGTGGGGTTGGGTATTGTGATGCCTATGTTCTTACTCCTTAGGACTGCTTTGGGTATTCATGGTCTTTTGTGGTTCCATGTTGATTCTTGGATTGTTTTTATAGATCAGTGAAATATAACATTGGAATCTTGATATGTATTGCATTAAATATATAGATTAATTTTGGCAGCATAACCATTTTCACAATATTAATTCTGCCCACTCCAGGAACATGGATGGTCTTTCCGTTGCCTCGTATCTCCTTTGATTTCC